TCGTCAGCGACGGGTCCCGCACGCCGCACGAGGCGCATGCGTGCAGCGGCAGCGCGTGCGCCATGCGCTCGTCGCTCCACTCGCCCAGCAGCCGCCGCTTCGTCTCGTCGGAGACGTGCACGCAGCGCTGCAGCAGCGCCGCCGTCTCGTCCTCGGGCCGCTCCAGGTCCATGACGACGTTCGTCGAGGCGTGGAAGCGCGTCTCCAGGTCGATGGCCGCCTGCTCGGCCGCGGCGAGCTTGCCCTGGTCGACGCACATGCCGCACACCGCGTGCGCCGGGCAGCCGCACTGGCCGCGTTGTGGGCGCACGGTCTTGGCGACCGCCGGCGCTGCGCGCCGGTCGTGCTGCTCACGCTGCCGGCGGCGCTGGTCGCGCGCCTGCCGATCGCGCGTGTTCGCGGCGGCTGCATCTCTTGCTCGTTTCGCTCGCACCCGAGCGGCTGTCGCCAGGCGCTTCAGGTCGGCGGTGCTGCGCGCGCGGCCGTCGGCCAGGCACAGCCACATGTCCTCCTCCTTAGCAGGCTCGCACGGCTTGCCGTCGAACTGCGGCTGGCGCCCGCGACGATGCTTCGCCCAGGCCGGGCACGATGGTGCCGCGACGAGCGGCGTCGAGGCGACGGCCATCGATGGGTCCAGAAGACTTGGAGACACTTCTACCAAAAAATCGAGCACAATTGCGTTACATGGGCATGGCCGGGGTTTCTGCACCGAACGATCTTACTTTCGGTCTATCGAAAGTGTTGATCGATAATGGGGGTATTAGGTGGTCGGGCATTCTGTTTTTCTCTTTCACGCATGAAAAATGTTTCTTTCTTTGTCACATCGGGCATGCAGGGGAGTCCTTACTCAGCACATTGTATACACGCAATTGTGGCGCTTTCTCTCTAGCTTTACCAGCCGACCCGCCCCACGCCCCGCCCGCCCCTCCCGCCCCGCCCGCCACGCCCGCCGCGTCCGCGCCTACCGACTGCCGGCACAGCGCCGCCGGCCGGCGGGAGGTTCGGCACCGCGCGAGGAGACTGGTAGACAAAGGTCGTCTGCGCCGCCACGCCTGCTCCAGTGTCGACGATCGGCAGCGCCGGACGGCGGCAGGCCGGGCAGTTGGTGTCGCGCTCCAGCACGCGCGGCGCACATGCCTCGCAGTACAGCGCGTGGCCGCACGCGAAGCGAACCGAGCGAGGCGCGTCGTAGCAGAGGTCACACTGGCGCTCCTCGGCCCCAGCCGTCTCCTCCACCGCCCCCGCCGCCTCGACCAGCGCCTCCAGCCGCGGCAGCGCCTCCGCGAGCGGCATCCGCTTCTTCTTCCGAACGAACGCCAGCCCGACCACGAGCCGCGCCAGCTCCTCGGCCTGCGCCGCCGACCAGCCCGCGTCGGCACTATTGATCGTTTCATACGGCGGTTTCAGTACTCTTA